TATATTAAATTTTATAAAATCTCGATATTATCAATTCGATTTTACGATTTCGATTTCACTTAACCCACGATTTTAGATAAAATCTCGATTTTGACGACCTTGGTCAAAATCAAAAAATAAATAAATGTGTTAAAATTGTTCGAAAGTTATTAGTCCTAATATGTTTATATACGCAGAAGTTTACTGACTAAAAAAAAAAACAAAAACAAAAACAAAAACAAAAGCAAAATCAAAAACCCAAAAAAACCTCAGAGGCTCCTTAATTAAAGGGCAAAAACAATTTTGTTTTTATGGGAAACGACAAAAACAAAATTTAAAATAATGTACAACATATAGTAGCCGTTAGTGCTGCTCCAATTCAAATTCAAAATCCATTTTTTAAAATCATTTCCCTTGCATTCCCTCGTCTTTTATCTCCCAAATTTCCCATCTCCACACAACTCGAGCTCCAACAACAATGCCGACGGCTCAGCTCCCGATCGCTGGAGACCAGAAGCTCCGTCCAAAATCCGGTCGGAAACCTCTCCAACCAAAGAACTCACTGGTCGATGCGGTGAATGAAATCGCAAGGACCAAGCTAATATCGAAGCAAGGATGGATCGAGATCACACCAGCCGGCAATCTGAACAAGGAGAACCGTCCGATCTATGCCACACCGACGAGAATAGAGCCGATGGATTCGTCTCTGGCGGAAGAACTCAGCGCTATGAGGAAGAAGATGGAGCGGTTGAGGTTGGATAAGGAGAAAACAGAAAGGATGTTGAGAGAAAGGAGCGAGATGCTGGATTTGCAGATGAAGGAAATGGAATGCAGAGGGGAGATTCAGAGGGAGCTGGAGATCGAAGTCGATAGGCTGTACAGATTGAAGGAGCTCCAATGTTTTAGCATGGTAAGAATTGGGAAAATAAAATATTTTGGATTCAATTTCCTCATTTTTTTGGCAAAAACTCTTCTTAAGCCCTCAAACTTAACTCAAAATAGTATTTAAGCCTTTAAACTAAAAATGAAGCAAATAAGCCCTCTAACTCCACTAATGATGCAAATAAGCCCTTTTCATTCATGTTGTTTATGCTTTCAAGGTGAAATTAAACATGAAATACTGTTTGGTTCATTTGTAAAAAAAGCTTATTTGCATCGTTAGTGAAGTTAGAGGGCTTATCTGCTTCATTTTTAGTTTACAAGTTTAAATGTTATTTTGGGATAAATTTAGGGGCTTAAAAAGGGTTTTTGCCTTTTTTTTTTTTTTAGAAAAAAAAAATAATTCTTGGATGAAATTTTAAGCAGAGGATATCTCCCGTGAGAACACTGAGAGAGAAGGAAAAAGAAAAGAAGACAAACGAAACACAATCTGAAGTAAGCTTCTTCATCTGGAATTTCATCTCTCTTTTTTGATAGTCAAGGCTCTCCAAACTAGCTTTCTCACAGCTCGAGATTAATCATCTCTGTTGCAATCAAAGAAATTATTATTATTATTATTATTATTTTGGGTGCTAGCGTGGGATTTGGAATTCATCTTTCTGTAGTTGAGTTAGAGCTTGTTCTATTGATTTATATGCGTGAAATTCTTTCTTTCTATTTCAGGAAATTAAATTGGAAGATTTGGAAGAATTTGTGGATGAAAACTTAGTGTCGAGTCCCGGTTCGGATTGTGCAAAAACAAGCAAAGAAGAGGATGATAAATGATGTTTTGGGTTTGCTTTTAATGATCTTCTTTCTTCGGAGAATTGAGTTATGGCTTAAGGGATGCAGATTTTAAGTAATGGGTAGCATTTATAAAAGAATAATAATATCTCATTATTGTTGGGGTTTGTTTGGCGCTCTTTGACAAAGTGTTTGTTTGAACTAATTTTCGGAAGTGTTTGTTAGGGATGATTAGTCAGTGGCTAAGTAAAGTTTTTATTAAAAAGGTTGTTGAAAAAGTATTATATAGAAAGTTAGAAAGTATTGTAAAAAAATTGTTATATTTTATAATAAAATTTTATTAAAACTTTGTTAGGTTATTGATTTTTTCTGTATTTCATCAAAAATTTACATAAAAAAAAATCTAAGGAAAGTTGTTGAGTGAAAAAAGTTATGGGAATTTTTTTTTTCTTTAAAAAGAGCTAGAAGAAAAGTATATTGATTATGAATGGAATCATAAAATAAAAGTTTAAAATATCACTTTGTTCGTTTATTTATTATAGTTTTGAAATGTATAAATACTAAAATACTCTTATAAAATCCTAGAAGTTGATGTTTTCTATGAACGTCTTCCAAACACACCCTTAGGGATGTTTGTTATACTTCCCAACATTTTCCTCAGATTTTTTAGGGATATTTTGATATTTATACAGTTCAAAAATATCATTATAATGATAAAAAAAAATCACATGGATCTGTTAAGTAGAGGGAGTGTGTTGCCACTAAAAAAAGGTAGAGGGGTCAATGTGCCACAACATTGTGAATTGAGGGGATGATTTTCACCTTCTCAATATCATTTACCATGGTTAGAAGAAGAATACCCAAATTAACTCTCAAAGTTAAGCAGTACAAATAGATCCACCTTTGAACAAGAAATGAGAACAAGTTCATCCATAAAATTTTTTATTTAGATAAATTATTTTAAATTTAATGTGTAACATCAGATAACGTTAGCAATTCATTAATAATGAATTTATTAGTGGTGCAATAAGTTAATGAATTACTAACGTCATCTAATGTCATACGTTAAATTTAAGGGTGATTTGTTCAAATAAAAAATTTTGTGAATGAATTTATCTTAAATTTTTGTTCAAAAATAAATCTGTCCTACTTAACTTTAAGGACGAATTTAGGTATTTTGACTGGTTAGAAAACGCATGATATCCCAAGGGGTTTTTAATCCGGCCCTATGTTGGGTCACTACAGTGTAAGTAGTGTAACTTTCCCAAGAGCCAAGACCATTGTCCTAATCCTAAATTTGTCTAGGTTAATCATGGACCAGTACCAGTTGGCCCAGCAAGAGAGTCATATTTGGTTAATAGGAATGCACTGGTTTAATGCTAAATTTAGTCCATGGACTTGACCTCAATACACTTTTTAAAGTCAATTAACTTGATAAAATGCACCTCTTTTTGGTCTTTGAAATAAATTTTTTGTACTTTCTTTTGTCTTTTAATTTGATAAAGTGAACTTTTTCAAAATAATTTTTTTGCACATTTTTTGTCCCTTAATAATGTGCTCTTGTTTTGGTTTTTTTAGTCAACAAAAGTCTACATGACTTGTTAAGTCAATTACAAAAATTAATTTTTCGTTAAATTTTTAACTATGTGTACATGATTAGTAAGCCATTCTCTTCCATATGTATACAATTGCTTAGTTGAGGTACCAAAAAAAAAAAATTGCCTAGTTTGGTAAAAATACTTTTGATCTTCCTCCTCTTCTCCCCTTGTTTCTCTAGTTGTTCTTCTTGCAATGACATTTCAACGATGACAAATCATCACAATCCTCCTATCTTAATTTACTAACGGGTAACCTTAACTTTTGTTGACGGAGGAACAAAAAAAAAAAAGGTTTGTTATGAAGTTAAGGGACCAAAAAAAATACAAAAAAATTTGTCCAAAGCCCCACAAAGGCATTGAAGCAAAAGTTTAAGACCAAATTTAGCATTGAAGCTAAAGCTTTTTATGGCAAGTGAATGAAAGCAACGAATTTATTTTCATTACCAAACTTGGGTAATTTGAGAGATTTGCTTCTAAACAAAGAATTAGATTACCAAATAAAGTTTCTGCTACCAAATATCATTATGATGTCTGCAAGAATAAGAAAGAGGATATCCCAATATTCCCTCTAGTCTTTGTTAATTTTTTAGTCTCTTAACTTTATATAAATTAAGTTGATAATTTTATATAATAAATAAATAAAAATTAAAAGATTTTTTAATTTAAGTAAAAATACTCAACAAAAATTATGAATAGGAAAAAAAAATTTCAATTGTCAAATATTTAGCATATAAAATTATCTAATCAAATTTTATACAAAAATTAAATTATGATAATTAAATTACTGAAGAGAGTATAATTCCACTTACTTATTAGCGTTTGGAAAATGATTTTGATGGTAGTATTTATGATGAGTTCTTATTATTCAATTAGAATATGTATATAACTGCAGAGATGTGGAAATAGACTCTCCTAATAGGATTTTTAGTTTTGAAATGACAAATTTTGTTTAAAATTTTACAATCAAAACAAAAACACAAAAAAGGAAAAAAAATCCTAAATTTGTTACAAATGATTGCGTAAAATTTACTACTTCTATCTTAGAATAATAGACTTTTTTTTATTTAAGATTTATTTTAAAATAATAGCATTTTTTCATATTTTAAAGAAAATAAATATTTTTTCTATTTAATCTTATGATTATCTCTAAAATTAAATTATTCATTCCGTTAGAAAAAAGTCTCTTTATTCTTATTTCTTTTTTAAGGGTAAAATAAATAAAAATAAAAAATTTCTAAATTTTTAATCCCAAAATACAAATAAAAAACATCTATTATTTTGA